AATGAAACTGTTGTTACTATATACTCCCTCACTACTCCTATCTATTGAACTTTTCCCTCACAGACATATATACTGATAACTGGTACACAAGCCCCTTACTCAGTGATTTCTTGTGAGTGAACATGAAAGATATGTGTGGCACAGTGCATGCAAATCGTAAATATATGCCCAGGTTCGACGCTGGCACTCGTAGAGGTGAGGTGCAGGCGTTTGCTGCCAATGACATCATGGTATGTCAGTGGCATGACAAACGAGATGTCACACTGTTGTCATCAGTTCGCCCTAATGAAATGGGAGACACTGGCAGGCAGCATAAAGAAAGTAATGAACCCATTCTAAAACCTGCAGCTGTGATTGACTACACCCTCAATATGCATTCAGTGGACAAATGTGACATGCTGATTGGGTTTGCTGATTGTGTTCGAAAGAGTTATAAGTGGTACATAAAACTCATTCCATATTCTGGACATTTCCATGCTCAGTGCGTATATATAAGATGAGGACCAGAAACAAACCACCATATGGCGAATTTTGTTTGTCTGTCATCAAACAAATAATAATCAAGTACCAAGGAACAGCACCTGCAATAGAAAACCGCCCATGTAATTATCAACAACTACCTTCTCGTCTGAAGCTTGGTGATCACTGCCTAACAAAACTGCCTGCTACTGCTTTCAAGAAAAAGGCTCAGAAGAGGTGTTACGTCTGTGCACATACAAAAAAACGCCCACAACAACACAGAGACACTCGTTTTATGTGTGAGGAGTGTAAAACATCACTGTGCATGACACCATGTTTCAAAGACTTCCACAGGCTGCAGAACTTCTATAAACATGTCCTGTGACTGTATATGTGTATATAAAATATAGAAAAATAGTAATAAACAATATTTTGTATTGTTCGTTTGTGTAAATAAGTTTTGTAAACAAAAGAGTGAAAACAGTGTTTATGCAGTTATTGTGTAGTATAGAAAAAGAAATAACTTACAAAATAGTGCTCATGTTGGTCTCACAGGCCATAAAAGTTACTTGGAAAAAAAAAATTTAAATAATAGAAAATAGTACCTAAAAAATAAAATAAAGTAATACCAGGTGACTGGCAGTCGGCGATGTTACCGTATGCCGGTCATTTTCTGTCAACTTCACCCCTCCATATCTCGGTAAGTATTGATGATAAAAATTTTTTGTTTAGCCTATAAAATTTAAAAAAAAAAAACACTATCTTTTCATAAGAAAAAAATCATTTTTTTTTTTCGAATTTTTACCGACCCTGAGAACAGGTTTGGGAGAGGGCCTGCCGACCCTGAAAGGGTTAACAAATTTACTCTCAATATTGACAAAACCTACTACATTCAGTTTGTGAACAGAACTACAGATGTTCCTCTTAACATAATGATAAATGGATCATCTATCACAAAGCTCACAGAGGGAAAATTCTTAGGAATCCACCTTGATAATAGACTCAGATTTCAAACACATGTACAACAAATTTCCAAGAAAATCTCCAAGACCGTAGGCAAACTATCGAAGATACAGTACCATGTTCCACAGTCAGCCCTCCTGGCCCAATATCACTCACTCATTTACCCCTATCTCACCTATGGAATTTGTGCATGGGGCTCAACAACAATAAATCATCTCAGACCATTAATTACCCAACAAAAGACTGCAGTCAGAATGATAACTAATTCCTACTCCAGGCAGCATACTCCACCAATATTCAGAACTCTAAACTTACTTATCGTACAAAACATCCATACTTATTATTGTGCCTTCTACATACATGGAACACTGAACTTGGATATAAACCCTCCCCTCAAACTTCTCCTTACCAACCTCAACAGAACACATGACCATAACACAAGGCACAGATCACTCTCTGATGTTTCCCGTGTCCATCTCACACTATGTAAAAACTCAATTCACATAAAAGGCTCAAAAATCTGGAATTCATTACCTGTGAATATAAAAGAAATATTGTCTATTTATCAATTCAAGACTCTTCTTAAAAACCACTTACTCAACCACAACTAAATAAATACTGAATAACTGAATCTCATAAATGCATAACCTGTGACCCTATCAATCTCTGTTTTTTTAATTACATTACCCAATAGTTTAAAATACCCCATTCTCTTGAATGCACAGTAACTCATCTAATGACCATATGACTTGTTTCTGCACTACAAATCATTGATTTTACTCGATCTGATTCGATTATATTACACATTGTTATGCTACAAATTTGTACAACTTTAATGCTTCTTATTTGAAATACTCATTTGTACTTCATGTTGTAATTTGTTTACCATAAGTTTTACCACTGAATGTATCATTGCTTAGTTAATTTTAAGCTGCCCATAATGCTTTGCATACAAGGGGCTGTTGGCATGTACACCCAGTCACTATATTTCTTTGTACACCTATGTATCATGTCCAAAAATAAAGGAATAATGTAATTGGCCTTAAATAGGAGTAAAAGTGGGTAAAATCACCAATGCGTAAATATCTCTGACACAGTAAAATTTGCAATAGCGTAATTTTGTCAGTTTTCCACCAAATTTCATACTTGTTATTTTATTACCTTCAGAAAAAGATTACCATTTCATAAGAAAAAATAAAAAAAGTTTTTGGAAAATTCTTGAACCCTTCGGACAAGGCATAGATCTATGACTTGAACCCTCAAAGGGTTAAAGGAAATGCAATAAAGGCCAGAAAAGAGCTTGGATAGATATCGAGAAATTTAAAAACAATAGAAATATTGCAAATAATTGTACTCCATGGGGAAATGGAGAAGAATCCTTCCTATGTAAGCCATGCATGTCATAAGAGGCATCTAAAATGCCAGGAGCAAGAGGCTAGTAACCCCATCTCTATATAAATTACTGTACTAAATGTAAAAAGAAAAACTTTTCTTTTTCTTTTTAGGTCACCCTGCCTTGGTGGGATACAGCCAGTGTGTCAAAAAAAAAATTGTACTACAGTATTCAAATTTCTTGTACCTTCACATCCAGAATGTTGTTCTGTGCTTATAGGTCTATTCAAGGCAGGAGAGAATAAAGTCACAGTACTGTAGCTGGAATAATATGCAAATAACCCACACTTAGGAGACTGAAACTGTTGTGATGCTTTGGTCCAACTTGGACCGTTAACAAGTCTCACTTACGCCAGAAGGAAAGGGAGTCAGAATATAAATGAAAGGGGGTGGGTAAAGGGGGTGGTAGAATGGGAGGAGAGTGCTGGTGGTGATGGTTAGTTGGTTTTGATTGGTTGGGTGAGTGGTGGAAAAATAATGGCAGTGTAGTATTGCTTAAGAAATAGTAGTAGTAGTAATAGTAGAGGTAGTCCATAAGAACAAAGAGATTAGAGAGGCACTGCAGGAAAGCTGCTGGGCAGTGGAGGTAGGACAAGATCACTTGTGGGACTAAACCCCCAGAAGACAGCCTTTCCTATATTTTCATTGCCTTAACTGTCCTCTGGCTAGGTGGGTTCTATCCTGTACAAGTTTTGTCCTGCATGGGATTTTGTCCTACCTTCAGAAGCAAGTAGCTCTCTTGCAGTGCTCCTCTGTTCTCTTGTTCTTATGGGCTACCCCCACTATTACTACTACTGTTTCTTCACTAATCCTTCACTCTCTGCCATTATTTTCCACTACTGCTATCTTGTTATTTCTACCACTACCACTGCTACACTTACACTTCAACCACCACCACTGCTGCCACTGCAACTACCCACCCCAACCCCTCTCCTCTGCTCTCCCTCCCTCCCTCCCTCCCCCCCCTCCCTCTCACTCCTCCCTCCCCCACTCCCTCCACTCCCTCCCTCCCTCCACTCCCTCTCCTCTCCTCTCCCTCCCTCCCTCCACTCCCTCCCTCCCTCCACTCTCCCTCCACTTCCTCCCTCCACTCCCCCCTCCCTCCACCCCTCCCTCCCCACTCCCTCCCTCCACTCCCTCCCTCCACTCCCTCCCTCCACTCCCTCCCTCCCTCCACTCCCTCCCTCCACTCCCTCCCTCCCTCCACTCCCTCCACTCCCTCCCTCCACTCCCTTTCCCTGCCCCTTATATATTTTCTAGTCCCCTTCTCATCTAGCTTCAGTGTGACTTGTTAATGATCCAAATCAGACCAAAATTTCTTCATAGTTTGTCTCTAATTGTGGGTTATTTGTGCAAGGTAGAAGAGATATCAGAACTAAAAAATGCACAGAGTTATTCACAGCCTGCATTAAAACTACAACTACCATAACAACTAATTGGAGTGAGAGATATTGAAAGAAGTGTAAAATAAATTTGGTGAAAAGCTAGGGCACCATAAGCACAATAAAAGAACACTATGTCAAAATCCACGGCTCAAGTCTCTTCAGCCTGGAAATAAATGGTATAAAATACCGACACAATGGAAATATAAACACATATGCAGTATAATGTGATCCTTTATTGACTACGTTTCGCCCACACAGTGGGCTTTTTCAAGTCACAAACAGAACTGTTCTGTTTGTGACTTGAAAAAGCCCACTGTGTGGGCAAAACGTAGTCAATAAAGGATCACATTATACTGCATATGTGTTTATATTTCCACTCTTCAGCCTACTGTCAGCAAATATCAGATATATTGTTCAAACAAATGTTGGAAATTAGATCACATCTCTGCCAAGTACCTGATCAACCAGGCTGTGATGGTTACATGGGTCAGTGGGCTACTAACAGCAATGGCTGGGCTGTAAAGGGTAAAAAAAAAAATTGAACCTGTCAGAGGTATGCATCTTTTTCTAAATTTTGTCACCTATGCATAGTATGATTTTTTTTTTTTTTGTAAACACATATCAAAATTGCAAAGTGCTTCAGCTAGTGCTTTATATGCAGTAAATGTAAGTGAAAAATAAAACAAAATTAGAAAATACAGACATGACAGCAGAGGAAAATGTATACAAATATAGAGATAAAAATAAAAAGAAATAGGGAGACAGTCTTTGAAATTTGTCTAATAATGTTTCTTGTTTCAGTTTTTGTGTTCTACATAAAATATTTTGACTGCACTGTGAATAGCAGTCGATCATCTCAGCTGTACCGAACATCACGCTCTAATGCCCTCTTCATCAGCATTCTCCTAGTGTCCTTCATCGTTACTATTATTCCCGTTGGCTACTCAATTGCTGAAATTAAGCCTTCGATTGCGTGTGGCCCATTCAGAGGTTTAACTACCATCTGGAGTGAAATGGTTGGAGTCATATCAGGTATTTATAGTTTAGATACTAAAAGACTCACACATGTATGTGTGTATATATGTGCATGTGGGGGGGGGGGAGTCATTACTAGTACAGCGGTACCTCGGGATACGAACAGCTCAAAACTCGAACAGTTATGTAAGTGTATTTATGTAAGTGCTTTTGTAAGTGAATTTTTGGGGGTCTGAAATTAATTAATCTAATTTACTATTATTCCTTATGGAACAAATTCGTTTAGTATTGGCACTCAAACAGCCTTCTGGAACAAATTAAGTTTGTATCCTGAGGTACCACTGTAATGTATATATGAGTTGGCTATAACCAATCATGTAAGTATGACTGACTGGATTGTGATTACCAGTCAAATACAGTGGGCCCCCGGTTAACGATATTTTTTTCATTCCAGAAGTATGTTCAGGTGCCAGTACTGACCGAATTTGTTCCCATAAGGAATATTGTGAAGTAGATTAGTCCATTTCAGACCCCCAAACATACACGTACAAACGCACTTACATAAATACACTTACATAATTGGTCGCATTGGGAAGTGATCGTTAAGCGGGGGTCCACTGTATAAGTGAATGTGTGTGTGTGTGTGTGTGTGTGTGTGTGTGTGTGTGTGTGGAGTGTGATTACTAATCACCTGAATATGTTTGGGATTATAATTACCTATTACACTAGGGCCCCACTGTATGCCATTTCTCTTTACAGTGTTTCACTTTACAGTGTTTCTCTGATACAGACATTTGAAATTATGACTAAAATTCGCTATACGGCTCCTCCCACCTGACTTTATAATGTGGTCACCCTGCCTCACCCAGTTTGTTTACATTCTCCATGAGCTCCGTAATCACCGCGTCTCTCCATTATGTGTGGAAACTCCAAAATTTCATGTTTTAAAAAAATTATTTCATATTTTATTTTATTTTTTATTTTTTTTTTTAAAGTCGGCTGTCTCCCACCGAGGCAGGGTGACCCAAAAAGAAAGAAAATCCCCAAAAAGAAAATACTTTCATCATCATTCAACTCTTTCACCTCACTCACACATAGCCGGACTCAAGTCCGGCTATATAAAAATAACCGGTTTCCCTGAATCCCTTCACTAAATACAGTGGACCCCTGCTTAACAATCACCTCCCAATGCGACCAGTTATGTAAGTGTATTTATGTAAGTGCGTTTGTATGTGTATGTTTGGGGGTCTGAAATGGACTAATCTACTTCACAACATTCCTTATGGGAACAAATTCGGTCAGTACTGGCACCTGAACATACTTCTGGAATGAAAAAATATCGTTAACCGGGGGTCCAGTGTATTACCCTGCTCACACTCCAACAGATCGTCAGGTCCCAAATACAGTGGACCCCCGGTTTACGATATTACTTCATTCCAGAAGAATGTTCAGGTGCCAGTACTGAACGAATTTGTTCCCATAAGGAATATTGTGAATTAGATTAGTCCATTTCAGACCCCCAAACATGCACGTACAAACGCACTTACATAAATACACTTACATAATTGGTCGCATTGGGAGATGATCGTAAACTGGGGGTCCATTGTACCATTCGTCTCCATTCACTCCTATCGAACACGCTCACACTCGCCTGCTGGAAGTCCAAGCCCCTCTCCCACAAAACCTCCCTTACCCCTTCCTTCCAACCTTTTCGAGGATGACCCCTACCCCGCCTTCCTTCCCTTACATATTTAAATGCTCTTCATGTCATTCTACTTTGATCCATTCTCTCTAAATGACCAAACCACCTCAACAACAACTTATTTTAACTCCACACCTTCTCCTAATTTCCACACTCCAAATTTTCTGCATAATATTTACACACATTGCCCTTAGACAGGACATCTTCACTGCCTCCAACCGCTGCCTCGCTGCTGCATTCACAACCCAAGCTTCACATCCATATAAGAGTGTTGGTACTACTATACTTTCATACATTCCCTTCTTTGCCTCCATAGATAATGTTTTTTGTCTCCACATACACCTCAATGCACCACTCACCTTTCTTCCCTCATCATTTCTATGATTAACCTCATCCTTCATAAATCCATCCGTTGACACATCAACTCCCAAGTATCTGAAAACATTCACTTCTTCTATACTCCTCCTCCCCAATTTGATATCCAAGTTTCTTTATCTAAATCATTTGATACCCTCATCACCTTACTCTTTTCTATGTTCACTTTCAACTTTCTACCTTTACACACACTCCCAAACTCGTCCGCTAACCTTTGCAGCTTTTCTTTAGAATCTCCCATAAGCACAGGATCATAAGCAAAAAGCAACTGTGTCAATTCCCATTTTGTATTTGATTCCCCATAATTTAATCCCACCCCTCTCCCAAACACCTAGCATTTACTTCTTTTACAACCCCATCTATAAATATATTAAACAACCATGGTGACATTACAAAATCCCTGTCTAAGACCTTTCTTTTACCGGGAAGTAGTCTCCCTCTCTTCTAAAACACCCTAACCTGAGCCTCACTAATCCTCATAGAAACTCTTTACAGCATTTAGTAACTTACCCCTATTCCATAATACTTGCAACATCTGCCACATTGCTCCCTATCCACTCCATCATATGCCTTTTCTAAATCCATAAATCAATAAAAAACTTCCCTACCTTTATCTAAATACTGTTCACATATATGCTTCAATGTAAACACTTGATCTACACATCCCCTGTCCACTCTGAAACCTTGCTCATCCGCAATCCTACATTCTGTCTTACCTCTAATTCTTTCAATTATAACCCTACCATACACTTTTCCTGGCATACTCAGTAAACTTATTCCTCTATAATTTTTACAATCTCTTTTGTCCCCCTTCCCTTTATATAAAGGGACTAAACATGCTCTCTGCCAATCCCTAGGTACCTTCCCCTCTTTCATACATTTATTAAACAAAAATACCAACCACTCCAACACTATATCCCCCCTTGCTTTTAACATTTCTGTCATGATCCCATCAGTTTCAGCTGCTTTACCCCCTTTCATTCTACATAATGCCTCACGCACCTCCCCCACACTCACATCCTGCTCTTCTTCACTCCTAAAAGATGGTATACCTCCCTGGCCAGTGCATGAAATTACCGCCTCCCTTTCTTCATCGACATTCAAATGTTCCTCAAAAATTCTCGCCATCTATCCAAAACCTCCATCTCCCCATCTACTAACTCCCCTACTCTGTTTTTAACTGACAAATCCATTCGTTCCCTAGGCTTTCTTAACTTGTTTAACTCACTCCAAAATTTTTTCTTATTTTCATTAAAATTTCTTGACATTGCCTCTCCCACTCTGTCATCTGCTCTCCTTTTGTGCTCTCACCACTCTCTTCACCTTTCTTTTACTCTCCATGTACGCTACTCTTCTTATAACATTTCTGCTTTGTAAAAACCTCTCATAAGCTAACTTTTTCCCTTTTATCACACACTTTACTTCATCATTCCACCAATCACTCCTCTTTCCTCCTGCACCCACCCTCCTATAACTACAAACTTCTGCCCCACATTCTAATACTGCATTTTTAAAACTATTCCAACCCTCTTCAACCCCCCCACTTCTCATACTTGCACCAGTCCACCTTTCTACCAATAGTTGCTTATATCTCACCTGAACTTCCTCCTCACTTTCACCTCCCTCTTACTTGTTGTTGCCATTTTCCTCTTTTCCCATCTGCCTCTTACTCTAACTGTAGCTACAACTAAATAATGATTCGATATATCAGTTGCCCCTCTATAAGCGTGTACATCATGGAGCCTACCCATCAACCTTTTATCCACCAATACATAATCTAACAAACTACTTTCATTACATGCTATATCATACCTTGTATATTTATTTATCCTCTTCTTCATAAAATACGTATTACTTATTATGAAACCTCCTTCTACACGTAGCTCAATTAAAGGCTCCCCATTTTCATTTACCCCTGGCACCCCAAATTTACCTACTACTCCCTCCACAACATTTTTGCCCACTTTAGCATTGAAATCCCCAACCATCATTACTCTCACACTCGGTTCAAAACTCCCCATGCATTCACTCAACATTTCCCAAAATCTCTCTCTCTTCTCTACACTTCTCTCTTCTCCAGGTGCATATATGCTTACTATAACTCACTTTTCACATCCAACTTTTATTTTACTCCACATAATCCTTTTTATATATACTCTAATAATTATACTTATGTATACCTGTACCTAAATAAACTTAAACGCTGTGCTGGCATGCAGGTACACATTAAAATCAGTAAGAGTGTCTTATGTCTCGAGACATGATATTAGTATGATAATAATACTCAATAATAATCACTGAGTCTCATTAATTGTCATATATTATGTTAATATATACATTTTCATTAATCCATCTATGATATTTTTTCAAAATTATATAATAAACATGATACTTAACATACAAATATGATAAATACACCCAACAGTAGAATAAATTAACATAAATATGATATGTGGTAGCCAGAGGACTTGTACGAGTGACGGCAAGAATAACGTTTTCTCTAGTCCAACATCAGAGAAAATGTGTTACTGGGGGTAACTGTAGAAAGTTATTCCTTTCGTATGCCTTCACTCAGAACATCATTTCTTCTAAAAATGCCGTTACATGAGAATGGGAGTGTTCCTCTTTATTTATGCTGCTGTATCAACGTAGAGACAATGTGTACACAATGTAGCTTGTACACAAACCAGACGTGTTCACCTGGTTTGTTTACAGAACTCACATCCACCTTGTTTGTTTACATAACTCTCTCTCTCTCTCTCTCTCTCTCTCTCTCTCTCTCTCTCTCTCTCTCTCTCTCTCTCTCTCTCTCTCTCTCTCTCTCACTCTCTCTCTCTCTCTCTCTCTCTCTCTCTCTCACTCTCTCACTCTCTCACTCTCTCACTCTCTCACTCTCTCACTCTCTCTCACTCTCTCTCTCACTCTCACTCTCACTCTCACTCTCTCTCACTCTCTCTCTCTCACTCTCACTCTCACTCCT